ATATATATATATGTGTGTGTGTGTAAGAGTATTGTATGCTGGAGTACTGGTGAGATTTCCTGACCAAAAGCCCATAAATGCTTTCTTGTCATCAGAGTGAGTTTCTGAGGCTCTATGACTTTTATATTATCTTGACTATGGCATGGGCATATGATATTATGTCTCTGCATAATGGTTTTGTGGATGTGTGTATTCTTCTTAGACACTTTGTCTTAAATGCATAGTAACTCTCACTGTATGTGTGCATTTCTGGCAATTTGTACTTCACAAGGCTCAGGTCTGAATTTAAGACTGTGTATGAATACTTAAAAAATAAAGTCATTGAGATACTTTGGTTTTTATAGAACAGGTTATCAGTGGTATTCAGCTTCAGGCCTTGAGTTTTACAGGAATGCTTTACAGTTTATAATATAGAAATCCTTCTGTGGTCAGCTCTCAAATAACTACTGTAGTCAGTTTCTAAATTAACTTCTGAGAGTAGCCCAGGCTAATAAAATAAGCAAATGGTCTATTAAAAGAAAATATTTCATGTCCTCTGAAGTTTTAATTATTTTATCCAAGTGGAAGGTATGGTGTGGGAAATGAAGTTTGCACAAGGAAGCTTCTGTCAGATTCTGCTCCTTGAAATTTTATTTTCCTAGCTATGAAAGCTATTTTGTATTTTACTTGCGGATTTGAAATGTGTAAAATTTTAAATTTAAAATGCTTGAATTTCAGGTGATGGAGTACCTAATTGGTGGAGATGTCAAATCTCTTCTGCATATTTATGGATATTTTGATGAAGAAATGGCTGTCAAGTATATTTCTGAAGCAGCATTGGCTCTTGACTATCTTCACAGGCATGGGATAATCCACAGGTAAAAAATTATTTGATTGTTTGTTTTGTAACAAGTAAGTATTTGGTAGTTTGGGTTTTAAATTTTTCACTCAAACACACATAACCAATCACCGTTTCATTGTACCAGCTGCTAGAGACACCTCATTTGCTGGAACTTTGGAAGCTGTTTTTGCATGTGTGCACTGCAGCAATGTCATGAAACAACTCTTAAAATAAAACCTGTGTATATGCTAAGCAGACAGGTACACACTGCTTCCCCCTGCCTGCATGCTTTCCCCAGTCCAGTGGTGTGTTAGCTGTGCTAGTTCAGGAACCCTCTGGGTACTGCAAACTTGTAACTGTAGTACAAAGCGACATTGACTACCCTAATGCTCCCCCTGCAGTGAGAGCTTTTTGTGTTCAGCAGTGCTACAGAGAACACACAGGAAAACTTTTACTAGAGGTTTGCTTGTCACCTGCAAGAGCTGCAAATGAGTAGATGTTATGATGGTGGTACTCACAAAGAACACCTTTTAAACATGCTGAAACACAAAACACGTCACTCTTGTGCACAGTGGTTTTATGGGACCTGAGATGTTTGTGCCGTATTTAGTCTAGATATTGTTTAATTTTTTAATGTATTCCTCTAATTGGAATCTTCTGCTAGTTAAGAGATGTTACTGAGAAACATCTATAACCAGTGTTTAAGTGGCAGGCTAATGTTTTGACTTGGTGATCTTCTCTTCCAACCTTGATGATTCTATGATCCTGTAGTTTGTTAACTTAATGTTGCTCAGTGGTCTTTTTGCTGACTTCAACTCTATTCATGTTTTCAGGGATCTGAAGCCAGACAATATGCTCATTTCTAATCAGGGCCATATAAAGCTGACAGACTTTGGGCTTTCCAGAGTTACTCTGAACAGAGGTAAGAGTTGTCTGTATCCTTTTGGTTGTATTAGAATGTATTTTTGCATTACATTTCCATAGTCTCGAGTGCTTTGAATTCCTGTAGAGGGCAGCTTTCAATTAAATAAGTAAATTAATTAATTAAGTGATTTCTGTAGGTAAGTACTGATAAGGTACATGCTAGTAAAGGGTCTGCTCTATGCATTGCACTTCAGAAGGTTAAATACTTACTCTTTGGGACAAGGGTTTATGAAATACACCTCATAGCAACCTTCCAATATCTGAAGGAAGCTGGAGAGAGACTCTTTGTTAGGAACTGTAGTGATAGGACAAAGGGTAATAGCTATAATTTGAAAGAGAGGAAATTTAGATATTAGAAAGAAGTTTTTTACTGTGAGGGTGGTGAGACACTGGCACAGGTTGCTCAGGGAGGATGGAGATGCCCCAACCACAAAGCCAGGCTGGATAAAGCCTTGAGCAACCTGCTCTGGTGGGAGGTGTCCCTGCCCAGGGCAGGGAGAGTTGGGACTAGATGATCTCTAAGACTCATTCCAACACCTTAACCTACTATGAAATATGGTCTAGAGCCATTTTTCTTGTAGGGTATGGATTTCAAAGTTTTCTGAAGTCCACTAAGAATTCAAGGGTTGAATGAATGTGGCTTTTTCTTGGTGTTTCTCCGGCTACTTCTGTCCTTCAGTTCATGTTTCTCAGTTCCTGTATATATTAATTTCCAGTAAATTAATGGAGACATTCTAGACATCAATGTGAGGGACAGGGGGAGGTGCTAAGTCCCTAACAGAAGATTAAATCAGTGCTTTGGCATGTGAATGTTCTCTTTTCAAGTAGCACAAAAGCTAACTGAATAGTCAAATGAATGTCTGGTACAGGCAATAGGCTGCAGGTCCTAAGGTGAATAGCTAATTTCTGAAGGAGTTTGTACCTCCAATCCCTTAGCCATATCATCCAAACTTACACTGCACAGCACCAGTTTAGTGGTTTTTTTGAGGCAGCTGCTGGTGGGCACATCCTTTTTATATAGCTAAAGGAAAGTTGAACTTTGGCACTGTCTGTGGAGTTTCTGATTCATGTTTTTAAGAATATAGAGGAAAATCCCAAGTATCCTGTGTTTTCTAGAATACACTGCTTCAACTGATGTTCCAATGGGATAGGTTATTGTCTAGTTGAACATGGTATGTCAGCTATAATCCTACTCACTGCTAACGAGTTAAAAAAAAAAGACATCTAAGAATGAATTTTCAGCTATGAAAAATTCTTCTGTAGCTTTTCTGAGATCTCTTGGAGAGATGGCAAGCTCTGAATCAAATTTACCATCGTGGTCCATGGTTCATAGGCTGGAACTGCTGCCTAAAAACCAAAGCTTCTGGATTAATATGTTGGAAAATAAATTTGACTTTTACATTTTCTGTATGTATAAATTATAATTTGATGATGGATATATAGGAAGAAACAGCTTGTGTTGAGTAAGAATGAATAGGTATGTCTTCAGTTGGGGGTTGGTGGCTTCGTTTATTTGTTGAGTGTGTGACAAAATGTTTTCCTCTTGGTAAAACTTAAATGTCTGCAACTTTGCCTTTTAGTAATAGCAAAATGAGAACCTGACCTGTTTGTTTTGGTTGGGGGTGTTTTCCTGTTTGTAGATATAAATATGATAGATATCCTTACTACACCATCAATGACAAAGCCAAAACAAGACTACTCACGTACTCCAGGACAGGTGTTATCTCTCATCAGTTCTCTGGGCTTTGTAAGTAATGTTCACCATCTTTGAAGTGCTTCATTCTGTTAGTTTATTTATGGTCTTCAATTTAATAATCAGTGTGATAAGGCTATTCTTGCATCTCTTCTGCCAGCTGGTAGAATGACCTGTTACATGTTTTAAGTTCTGAAGTGATTACCTTTGACTGTATTTTGAATTTCTGGTCATCAGTTGTGCTTCAAAAATCTGATAGATGAGCATTGGCTAAGCTGCTGTGCAAATGTAATAAAGAAGCTACACTTTCAATCCTGGATTGAGGTGTTTTCCAGACTTCATTAACCTTTAACTATACTTTTTCCTGCTCCTTAGTATACTCCTGTTGGAATGAAAATGCCAGGGCAAAATTCAAGTCAATCATCTGACAGTCTGCATGGAGCCATTTCTCCCTTACCTATGGTCCAAAAGGAAAATAGTCCTCTTACAACTAAACTATTCAAAACATGTGAGTATACCAAACTTTGTGCAGAGGAATGTTCTGGCTGGAAAGTTGTGGTCTTTTAATTTTATGTGAGCAGCTTGGGCACACTTCAAAAAAGTTGTGCCTCTATCAGTGGCTTGCTGTCCACCAGTCCTTCAGTGCTTTATGTCTGTCATTTTTTTACCTGCACTACTTATGTCATCTTCTGATGGTTTGTTCTTTTTTTCAAATGCACAACCACTGAATTCAAAATCAACCTTTCATATTTTACAGAAATAGTGTCACTTCCGGACATACTTTCATTGAAAATTATTTAATATAGCAATGTGTGCTTTCATTTAAATTGTCATATCTTGCTGCTTTCTCATTTCTAACCTGAAATGAGAAAGAAGGCAACTATGCTGGTAACGTTCATATTGCTTTTATGTTCTTGGCAAGTCCCTAGTTCAAGAAATGTGTGAGCTGACTATGCAGGAAAAATGACAAAAGAAACTGTGTTGCCATGCTTAGCTTTCCACAACTTCCTTTGATGTGTAAGCTTGACATAGTGTGAAGCTGATCAATATATATTGCCTATTTGTATCAACACTTGAATTTATTTTTTTTTCTCTCAAGATCTTGATACTTCTCAATTAACACCTGTGATACCAGTGAGAAGTTTAACTCCTACTCTACTTCAGTCAAGGAAAAGGTTTGGTACCTCCAGTGTCAGTAGTCAGTCACACACGTATCTGTCCAGTGTGGAATCAGATTTCTGCAGCAGCCCCAGGTGGGAGAAAGATACAGAGGTCAGGACTGTTTTATTTTCCCACTATACATTAAAATTTAGTTAATACTTGTTTATGCTCTGTTACAAATCTGCTCTGCTTACTAGCCCCAGTTATTTCAAGTGTAGAGAAACTTTCCTACAGGAAAAGGACATGGGGTTGTAATCCTTGTTGAGTAGGAGTTTGGATCAAACTGATGTAATTTTTTCTTCAAATATTAGTCCTATGCAACATAACAGGAAAAGCAAATGCTATTTAGTGTGCAGCAAAGGAGTGAGAGAAAGCTTCTGCTGGCCATGGCTAGTTTGGCCCTATTCTGCACAAGGCAGGCAATACTGGGAGCACTGGCTATTGGAAGCTGACCTTATCCCCATACCTTTATTTGCTCAGAATGCAGAGAAAAGAATTTCCTTAAAGACAGAGCTTGGGAAAATAACAAAATACACTTGAAACTTGTACTAGCTGTTAAATTGAAAGAGTTTGAAGTGTATCTTACTGGAGGGTAACTAACCTAACACCAATAATTAGAGCTGATACAAAATACTTGCTGCTATTTTAAACTGTCAATGAAATTCTGTACCAATACAGACCTCAAAGAAAATGCTGCTGTGCTGTGATCATCGTGGCCCTTGCCATGATTCCTATTTAGATCATACAGAAAAACATACATTTAAAATAATTTATAGTTCTTTGTCTGTTTCTCAAGACTTTTGTTTTACTATTGTGTTGTCAAAATATTCTTAATAGCAGATTTTCCTCTTGTCATCTCTGAAGTGTAATATGCTGCAGAGCAGGATGATTGGGTTCTTTGCTTTGGGGTTTCTTGAAAACTGAAAATTTCTGTAGCTTAACTTCCTGACCTAAAATCACAAATACAACTTCAGTTGCTGTACTTCTTCATCCTTAGCATTTAAAAATACTGCATTTTTCTATTGTATTCTAGCAGGCTTATTTTATGTTCTTCAAAAGAGTTAAATTATCAAGTTATCCTTAATTTGGTTTTGACTTCTTTGTTTTGTGAAGTATCACGTTCATGTTTGTTACTAGTAGTGGTTAGGAAGAACAAGTAATGCTTGCCAATCTGCATTTCCTTATGGAAGTAGAAGTGAAGTATTTTTAAGTGACACATTTCTGTAGTTCTGTAATCCTGTTTCTCTTCATACTCAAAACTTAATGTGCTCATTTGCAGCAAAGTAAAGATGAACAGAGTTCTGCAACGTGCAAAGCAAGTAACAGTGGGTCAGATCTCCCTTCGAATGTTGAGTTACCGAATAGCAAAGGTGTTGAAGCTTTCAATAAAAAAGAACTTGAATCTGCCATTTCTCCCATTGTCAGCAATGATTCTGGCAGTAGGCAGAAGCTGGAAAGTGAACGTTTGGATATAATGGATACTCCTGTGACCACACTGGATGTGAAAGGCACAGTAAGAAAATGTATTTCTGAAAGTAAGATTTGGGAAGAAAATGTCATTGTAAATAAAAGAGAGATGACTAATGAAACAGTCAAAACTTCCAGTCTACCACGTTTACCTTCAAGGCAGAATGAGCCCGTCAAAGAGGAAGAAATTTTTGAAAAGCCAGGTATGAAAAGAAGCTTTGCATTAGTTGACACCAGTCCTTGTCAGGAACTTAACTATGTTAAAAAAAGCAACGCAGAATATAAACGTGGCTGTCAGATCTCAGAATATGCAGCGAGCAGCAGGACAGGTTTGACAACAGAAATTCAGTCCTTAATGCTTTGTGATGGTGGAAGCCTACGTGACACCTGCAAGAGCAATGAAGAAGTTAGGAGTTTTATTAGTAACCACCAAACAGCAGAAAGGGTGCTTACTCCAACCATAGCCAAAAATCTTTTGTGTGATTTGGATGCAGACTACGAAAAGGATGACAAAGAGCAGCATATGAACTTGAGTTTTTTGGGCACCGATGATGAAAAACCTCTAGGAATCCTCAGTGCAGATTCTGACTTATCACTTCCTGAAATGTCTGTTACAGAAAGCCGTTTAGAAAAGCAGCTTTTAGACTTAGACAAAAGTGTTAAAGAACTCTCTTTTGAGGAATCAAAATCTGAGGATGTGCTAATAACATCACCAGAGCCCCAGGATGCTTCGCAAAATGGAGAGGAAGCAGATGCAGTCCAGGACTGCAAGCTGTTACATCATGAAAAGGATAATGATGAGAAACACATGGAAGAAACTTACCTTGACACAGTATCTGCTCCTTCAGAAAAGATGATGGAAGCACTGAATGTCTTAAAAAAGAATGCCGTTGTCTTCCGAAGTTATGACAGTCCAATGAATGTATCCAATGTATCTGAGCCATGTAGCATGGCTTCTTTAGACATAATGGGTCCTTCACCTGCTTGTAGTGGCTCTTACCCAACAGCCATCACTCCATTACAGAAAGGAAGACCATATTGGGTCTATCAGGTAGGTAAGGAGACATGTAGAAACTTTGTGCGTGCATTGGACATTAGTGACCTGAAATTATTCCAGTTGTAAATTTAGGGAAAACTCAAGTAGTTTGAGGGAGTCTGTCAAAGTGACCTTTGCTGTCAGGCTTTCACTTGCTGCACTTGTGCAGCCAAAATTGTAGTTTCTGTAAGAGGTTAGCAATAACTGTCTGTTCACTATTTTGCCTGTGGCTCAACGTGTGTTGACTGTCCAGCTCTTTTAGAGACCCTTTGCTGTTACAGTGAACTGGTTAAAAAAAGCCTGTGCTATTTTGTCTCATCCTACTTTTAGTGCAGTGTGGTATTTCCTGTGAGCAATTATAGGTTTCCTGATGTAATGGGAAGTCCTGGATCATTTTTTTCTTTTTTCATCCGGCACCCCTCCCAAGACAGTCTAAATGCTGTTCAGCTGCTGGTAACTGCTCTTGTCCCTGCTATTTTCTTTTTTTAATCCTGGTAAGAGTGCTGGTGTAATGTGTACTGTCAGGTGGCAGTTACAAGCCTATTAAAGATTGCTGTAAACAATAATAATTGCTGTGGATTTGACACTGGAGGAAGAACTTAGGGAAATCTTTCTTAATGAGTCAACATCTTAACTTTATGCCTCAAGGTTGTTGAGATTAAAGCAATGGAAGCACATTTCATGCATATTTTTCAGGGAATGTACATTTTGTGACATGTTCCTGACTTGAACTAAAGTATCAACTATTATATCCTTTACTCAACCTGGAGATGTGAGTTCCCAGCTAGTTTTGTTTGACATCTGAAATCTTTGTTACATCTTTTAAGACACCTCATCAGGGAGATGCTGGCACACCATACAGGACTCCAAAGAGTGTAAGAAGAGGAGCTGCTCCAGTAGAAGGTGAACGCATTCTGGGGACCCCAGACTACTTGGCACCCGAGCTGCTTTTGACAAAGCCTCATGGTAAGACAGACAAGCCATGGAGCTTGCTGATGCTTGAGAGGTGACATATGTACACTTCTGAATGTCTCTAGAACTTTAAATCCTTCAAATAGTAAGAATTCAAAACCAGCTAATGCTTGGCTTTTGCCAGCATGGATGGCTGTGCTTGCTTCAGATGCTCCTTCCATTCATTTACTGTTTTCACATAACTAGAGGTTTTGACTGTCCATCATAGTCTTGCTTGCTGCTAATCTAATGCATTGGAAGCTACTTTGGGTGCCTGAGACTTGTGTGTGGCTTAAGAGTCACAACTTGGTCATCTGGAGTGTCCTTAAACATCCTTTGGGGTGGGAAGGGGAACTTAGTGAAATTTTATTATGATAGGATTAAGCCTCCAATTGTTGTTAGAATGCCTTCCATGTTTATTGAGATTGAAGTGTTATATGCATCCAGACAAATTTCTTGCCATCTTTCTTTATTGTGCAGTTACTTCCATAAGAACAAAATCTGCATCCCTATTCCTTCAGAGAATCATACTTGTTTGTATTTGTCTTGTTTTGGCAATAATTGTAATGTTGTTACTTCATTGTCTTTTCATGTGCAGGGAGTCTGATCTCTGGTGAGTTTTCTACATTCTGTGCAGAACTGAAGTGTTCAGCATAACTGAACAGTCAAAGTATAACTAGATCACAATTTCCAAGAACACTGTTTGGGTGAACAATGTTTCCATAGAGAAAGAAGTGTCCAATATGCACTCCACATAAAAATGTGTGATGCTTCCACACAGATTCAGGAAGCATCAGCATCACTAGGCAATCAGCAATCACACACTTGATATACTTGAGAAGGAAATCAGCATTCTTAAAGACATTGTGTGAGAGGAAATAAGCCTAAGACACTTTTTCTCATTGCTTCCTTTCACTTTATGCAGTCAGTCTGATGTACTTTGTGTATGGGTGAAGAAAGCTCAAATTCCCAAGCTCTGGTATTTCTGTTTCTTGCTTCAAATCATGGAATCATAGAATATCCTGAGCTGCAAGGAACCCACAAGGATAATTGAGTCCAACTCCTCGCCCTGCACAGGACAGCCCCAAGATTCACCCAGTGTGCCTGAGAGCATTGCCCAAGCAGTTGAACTCAGTCAGGCTTGGTGCTGTGACCCCTTCCCTGGAGAGCCTGTTCCAGTGCCCAACCACCCTCTGGGTCAAGAACCTCTTCTTAATATCCAGTCTAAACCTCCCCTCTGTCCATGGGAAGCCATTCCCCCTTGTCCTGTCCCTCCAGATCCTTTGTCAATAGTCTCTCCCCATCTTCCCTGTAGCTCCAGTGCTGGAAAAGGCTATAGCTCATTTGAATGGATTAAATGAAGGATTAGTTAAAGTTCCTGTTGGAAAAATTGGCCCTGGAACCTGTGTTACATTGTTTAGAGTTGTGATCTTATTATATTTTGACTAGAGCTGGGAGTGTTTTATCTGAACATCCAAGTACTCTAACACCAGTGGGTGTGCTCTCACTGCTGCAGTGTGCTTAGCTTGGTGGGGCACTCTTGCAGCTGGTTAAAGTTACTAAAAGTGCATTAGATTCTAGTGATACATTTTGATTTTCAGCATTTTTAAACTTAATCAGTATGACATGGCCTTATGACATGGCTCAAAACATTTGCTTTCCTCACTTAAAGACACTTAAAGGTGTCTTAATTTTTATTTTATATGCCAAAAAACCTTAGAAAAATTAGACATCTCTCAAAGATTTTTATTTTTTTTTGCAGCAAGTGTGTAATCTATTCTTTATACAGAGGAGTGGGCATGGCTTGAAGATGCAGAGAGCTTAGAGTGCATGCAGTGGTGTCTGGGATTGCTTTGCCTGCTTGTTTTTATGTAGATTAATAAAATGGGATTGCAAAAAAAAAAAATCCCTGTGAAATGTGGAAAACCAAAACCATTTAATAACAAAAGAGAGATAGCTAATGACTACCCATTGCCCTAATCAATTTCAGTGTAATGGAAAGTAATTCCAGCTTCTTGCATGCTGGCTCATCTCTGCAAACTGCCTTCAAGATGTTCACAGAACTATAGAAAAATGAAAACGAAGTTCAGTCGTTTGAATTCTTGGAGCCTTCTGAAAGAACTGAGAGAAGGATACAGGCTACAACATGGAGCCCTCATCCAGGTTCTAGAGCAGGCATTAGGCAACTGTTTCTTGTCACAAAACAATCTCTTGGAGAAATCGACTCCTGGATTCTCTGGGCTGGGAGTTGATTGTTATTAAGAGCCCCTTGCTTTTGTCAGTAAACCCCAGTGTTACCTGTAATGATTTAAAGTGCAGAGTGGCTTTAAAAAGCCCTTTAATATATTTATGATCTCCATGAATATTAAACACAACTTATTTTGTCTCTTCCTCCATTTTCAAGAACTGTGCAGAATTTAAAGGCTCTTCAATTTCTGTCATGGCTAATCCTGAAGTATTTGCAAATGTAACTGATGTCAGTGTAATGATTTGAGTTTCTCTTACCAGGTTCTGCTGTAGACTGGTGGGCCCTTGGAGTTTGTCTGTTTGAGTTTCTAACTGGAATTCCACCTTTTAATGATGAAACACCAACACAAGTCTTCCAAAATATTCTGAAAAGAGGTAATCTGGTTTGGTAATCAAATGTATTTCCAACATTGGTTTTATGGTTCGAGTTACCAACTCATCTGCATCTTTGTCTCTAGATATTCCCTGGCCTGAGGGTGAAGAAAAGCTGTCTGATAATGCCCAAAATGCAATAGATATTCTTCTAACAATCGAAACTAGTAAGAGAGCTGGACTGAAGGGTTAGTATTACAATTGTCTTGTGTTCTTTGCAGCTAAGGACAGATTTCAGAGTGGTGGTGTCCTCCTCCTGAAACTTAGACTAATAAACTTCGATGCCTAATTAGGTTCCATGTATAGTGTCAGAACACTTAGGTTGCATTTTCTGTATTTCTTGTGGGGTTTTACCCTTTTGAACTAGGAAATTCTGGGGTGGGTTGCTGTTTCGGTGGGTTTTAATTGAACCTTTGTTTTGCTTTAATGCTGTTTCACTTTGCATGTTGACATACCAAAGTTCTCTTATCTAACAGGTATTTGTAATTTTTGCCCTATATGGTTTTGGGAACCTTGATTTTAAAAGCCTAAGGTTAGGGAGAGAAGTCTCCTACAACAGTTAATTCAAAGGACATTTTTCTTAGGAATCAGCCTGTCTGGGGTATGTATAGGGGAATACAGAGTTGAACAACATATGCTATATAGAGTCAACATACTTTTTTTTTTTCCCTTGTGGAAGGACTTAAACAGTTGTTGTTAACTGTATATTTTATATATAAAAGAGAATGATAACATGAAGGAAGCTTAGAGTGAGATGTTTTGGAAAGTGAGGAAGAAATCTTATGAGAAAAGTGCCTAAGAAATCTCTAGAGAAGGAAATTACTGTGGAAATGCTTCCACATAAATAGACCAAATGCTAGAGGTTGAAACCAGGCCAAATTAAATTGGAGAAGGCACACAGCTATAAAGGAAGATCATGATGTCAACAGAAAATTCAGTGGCCTTAATATCTCCCAAAAAGCATTTAATGACTTCATTTGAAGATATTTTAGTTAAACACAAGTTACAGTCTTTATTCCTGGACATTAAGGTGAAATCTAATTGCCTGTTGTGTAGAAATTTAAACTAGATAACAGAATGTGGGTTTTTCCAATCTATAGGCCACTGAAGTGAAGTTAGATGAGTAGTTTTCTGGACAAGCATTAAGTTTTCCTTTTTGTAACTGAGTTTCTATCACTGTCATCTTCTCTCCCCTCCCCAAAACACATGCTCTCCCTCTCAATTGCTCCAGCACGCAGCCTTATGTACTGAGAAATCCCAGTCACATCATGTCCTAGTGCTGTGCTGCTGTGAGTTCAGTCTTTCCAGAGAAAGCTTTTTAAAGCAGCTTTTGGCAAAGAATACTGGGATCCAGTGTTGGGCTTGGCTTTTGCCCCGTTCTTCAGAGACAAGGGCAGGAGCTGAGTGCCAGTGATGGTACATGTTAATCCTTCTTGGGAAGAGACAATGCAGTGTGCCTTTACCTTCCCAGCTGAAGGCAGATCTGGTGTGCTGAGCACCTTCTTAAGAGCAGCACTACAGTTCTGAGAAGTGGATATGTGCAGTTCCCTGCTGCATGTGTGGTTGCTGAGGCTATTGGAAGGAGTTAAGGCTAATTCTGATTTAATGCCTTTTGGTTAAAATAAACTTTAATATTGTGTAACAGTATTTGATCAGGAAATCTCAAAATAATGCCTTACTGCCTATCAGCTAAAAAACTGTGCTATGTGCTTAGATTTAAAATTTGTACTGAGCGTTTGTCATGGGCAAACTTTCACCTCCTAACTGTGACTTGTTTTTTGTAACCTGTTTTATTTTTGCTATTTGCTTTTGATTTTTGTGGGGCAGGTGATAAAAACATGGGTTTGTATCCCAGTTAGATGAAAAAATGCTTTCTTGGGATGAATCAAAGTAGCAAAGCTGTTTTCATCAGGGAGTTCCTCAGGTCTTTCCAGGTTATGCAGAAGACACATCAGACCTACATGCCAGGAGGTCACCTTCTGGTCAGAATGGACAGGGCAGAGGAGCTCTTGAGTCAGAAAGTCTGGCAGCCTGGTTAGTTATCAGGCTGAGAAAGGAATCTGATGGTTAGTGGTAACTTCTGCATAAGGGCATTTAGACTTGTGTCTGGTGGTAGGCCCAAGGGGACTGTACAAAGCAGAGGAGGCATCAAATCCATGAGATAGCAAAAGGAAGATGGCCTGGAGCAGAGAAAGCTGGGACTGACTCCCACATAGCTACTCATCACAGAACTCTGGCAATATTAGAAACAGACTTTGAAGTCTAGAATTTCTGTGATGCCCCAGTGTGAGAAATGCCCTGTGGGCACCTCTGATCTCCTCTGGGTGCTGTGTGGAATAGGGGAAGGCAGTTTGTTGGCATGACAACAGTTTGATCCCATGGTGGTTGGGGGTAATCACAGCCCAATTGCAATTTGCACTTTTATGAATTTCTAACCCATCAAAATAGAGCAAATCTACTGACAATTATGCCTAAGGGACCAAAGTGACTCTGGGGCTTGGACATAAGGAAGCTTATAATGCTAACATGAACTTCTGTTCCAGAGCTGAAGCATCATCCCCTCTTCCATTGTGTGGACTGGGATAACCTACAGAATCAAACTATGCCCTTTATACCTCAGCCAGACGATGAAACTGACACTTCTTACTTTGAAGCTCGAAATAACGCTCAGCACCTGACTGTGTCTGGATTTAGCTTATAGCATCAAGACAAGTAACGTTCTCCATGGCTTTGCACACTTCCAAATTGCCTTGTAACACTACTTGGTCTTTACTAAGTTTCCTTATTTAGTGTGTTGTAAGTTACCAGTCTGTTTTTATCATAGTCTCCTTTATGCTGAAGTGAAACTACTGTATGACACTGGTATCAAGTGCCTTTGTGCTACTTTTTGTCTTACTCACTGCACCTTACTAAGAGGCCAGAGTGTTGCATTTCTTGGAGCTAATGACTCTTGGCAATGATGGGGCTTTTTCATAGCAATAAATAATTCCAGGTAGGAGGTGTGATGTTATTTCCCAGATAAACATTATAGGGAAAGGACATAAATGCATCCTAATGGTATGTAATTCCAACTTACCTCCTGGTGGTTCAATGTGATGGCAAGCTGGATTGGGACCAGTGGGAATATAATATCCACTGTGCAAACCTGATCATTTCTTCTTGAGGTGGGAAATTGAAATCTTAATGCAGCATTGCAATGTCTTGTCTTCTATTTATCTTATTCCCAAGAAGGTATGAGAAACCCTGGAACAACACTGCCTCGAACTCAGCTAGAAGTGGCATGTGAAACTGGGGGTTGTTCTTCTGGTTATTAACTGTTCCTAGGGAAATGAGGCAGGGAATGGGCCCTTGGGAGAAGTCTGTTAAACAAATGCTCTGCGCAAATTGTTGCCTTGTAACCACTTGGGCTGCACAAAGCTGGACCAAGCCTGCATTTTAGCAGATACTAGTTTTACATAAGAAATGCCAAGTGTGTGTGTGTGTGCTCACTTGTGTCAGATGATAGCTAACAGGTGGGTTTTTGTTTTCTAACAAGTTGAAATAGTATTGATACCGAAGCTGCTATATATAAAAGACTATAATGTATCTCAAACTAAAGTCTGTTCTGTAAACTCACAGCTAGAGCTTGGATTTTTACTAGAATGTAACATAGATATTCAGTATTATAAATCTGAACTGGGGGAAGTGTATTTAAGTCTGTCTTTAAGTACAACACAAAACTTGCATCTGCTAGGTTTTAGAGGTTTATTTGTAGGTAATCCTGTTTAAATAATCTTCAGTATTTTTCTTGCATAGATATCTATCTTGGCTAAGTTAATGAAGATTTTAATTTTTCAGGTTTGTACTTGTTAGACAAAGATCACTTGTGTTAGAAGGTGGTGCCAGAAGCCCAAGCATTTTACTAGTGTTTTTTGCCAAGTGGCTTTTGGTGTCATGAACTGACCCTTTTTGCTGGGGTAGCAAGTTGTCCCTTCATCACTCTGCTTCCTGGAAGACAAGATTTATTGATGGAATGCTGAACAGTGTCTGCTAGGCTTTCTGCTGTCCCCTCAGGCTCTTGGGAAAGGAGTGGGAATGGTGAAGAAAGTTTCCTAGACCTAAAGAGAGCTGATTCCTAACAGCTTGGAATGACAGATCCCAGCTCTAAGTGTGCTAACTCAAGCATGTGAAACAGAATCTTGGCAAGTTGCAAAATACAGTGTGTCTCTCACTGCCTTTGCTAAGGACTGGAGTTTCAGAAAACTTCTCAATTGTTCAGTTTTACTGAAATGGTTACATGAAAAAGGTACAAACAAACAAATGTAAAGCATTACTAAGCACATCCACAGGCAACACTATCTGAATGTGATGAGTTTGTTAATGTTTTTCCTGTGTACAGTTGGACTATCTAAACTGGGGTAGGAGGAATACCTTAATTGAAGTAATAACTGGTATGTTATGTAATTTATTCTTCCCTTTCTAGTGATCTGGGTGAAGAAAGCAAGTCTTACAAGAATGAAATGTGATTACATGTTGAGGAAATAAGATAACTGAATACCACAACAGCTCTTTGTCTTTGGTGCTTTACAAATGCTTACACCTGTTCCCATTTTGCAGCATAATACATTCCCATCAAGGAGGAAAAATCTCATGGCAGTGGTGTGATCTTTTGAATATAACCTCTAACCCCTTGAAATAGTTCTTAATCAGCTGCAAGGCTCAAGCAAGCTTCTAGAAAAACCTTATTCCAAAAGAAAATGGGTTTTCTACCACGTGATTAATGCAATGCAAAAAGATAGGTTCTGTACAACAGTAAATAGGCCAATGGACAAAGCCAAATGTTTCTATTAGTTGTCTATCCTGGTGTCCAAGGCTTACCTTTTGCACAATTAGCACTGAAGACACGCAATGAACCATTCTCTTCAGCATCTTGCATTTATCCTGGTTATAGCCAACATAGAGTTGAATGTTGCATGTTAATTGTTGGGGTTTGTGACATGGTTTTGTTTGTTGTGGGGTGTTGTGGTTGGTGGGTTTTGCTAAAAAAGTGAATCCTAACTTTATTATTTGACATGGAATTCTTTGTCAACTGTTAATCCTGTTGGTTTTGCCCCACTTGTTACTTGCCTTGAAATACTCCAGGTAAAAGTAGAAAAAGCTATCATGTAGCAGCTGGGTGAGACTTAAAGTTTCATCTCATTAGTAATCAGCTACAAGTAACTGGGCAAGCTGGCACAAGTTTCTGGTCCTTAGAAGCTGTGGCATAGCACTTGACAGGGACTCCAGCTGATACATGCAGCTTCTTGAAGGCCTAAACTTTATGTGCATAACCTACATGTAAACTCTGTAGCTTCCAGGTTATCTGAGGTGACAGTTTATCTGCCATTAGCACAGAGCTGTCCATCTAAAGACAACTGTAGAGATCAGGGCATGTCACACTGTGCTATAGAGACACAGCAGCCTTGGATAATTGTTACTAGCACTGCCTTGCTGTTGGGCTCACCTATACACAGTGCAGAGGCCAGAGACCAAGGTCCTGAAATGCTGCCCTGTGGTGTTGAGCTAGTAGGATCCAGTTCCAGCATGACTGGGTTTACCTATAGTTACTGCTGCAGTAAAAGGCATTCTCTTCCTCTCTACTCCATTTGCAAGAAATTTACTTTGTGCACTTTTGTTTAAGTATGTAAAATAAAATACTGCAGTCATGCTGCTGCTTGCTTTTGTGTATCGTTTTTCTTTAAACAGTGTTACACTTTGGCCCTGCTGGGAGTGTGGGAGGTGGATTCTTACACAAAGAAACCCTGACTGTTTCCTGCTCCCTCAGCAAAGACACTGATTTTAAGTAGGGAAATACCTAACACCTTCCAGTACAGGTGTGTATGTCCTTCAGTTCATGACTTGCTAAACAGTGCCTGCAATCTTTAGTGCAAGCTACGTTTGTAGGAGAGCAGAGAGTCCTGAAACTCCTGGTAGGAACCTACCACTCTGTGCTAACTAGGAGTCAAAAAAAGGTGGTGGCTCCATCCCCCTCAGCACTTGCTGTGATGCTACAGGACCAGAACAGAAGAAACAGGGCCCTGAAGACAGAACAGCTGTACTATGCACACACACCTGGCTCTGTTTTGGTTCTTTCAACCAAACCAACCAAGTAGTGGGTGGAATATCTCCAAACCAGATTCAGGCAGAACAAACTTTTGCTTTTTAGATGAAGTTTGATTCACTGCAGGAAACTAGCTTGACATTTGCTTCACAAGAGCAATTTTGAGCTGGGCCCTCCTCCACTGCTATGCAGAACTGTCTTGGCTGCCTCCTGAGGAGAGCACAGGCTCGAACAACATCTCCCATTTCTGAACTCCCATGATCTGCTTCTGCCACTTCTCCACACTAAATCTGTGTCTCTTTGTACCTGGGCAAATGATAAATAAATCGCCTTCCTTACCTTTAAGCTGAAACAGCTAACCAGGAATCTGTTCAAGTTACAGTGAGTTTGAGACAGCCCTAGAGGCCAAGACCCAGTTCTGAGTTACAAGTAAATTGTGACAAAACTGATATTTTGTACTAGAGCTTTGAGACTGACTCTTCACAGCACAGCCAGCAGCCTCTCCTGTACTGTCACACTATCCAATATAAGCGTGTAGTAAACATTTAAAAACTTCAAGATAAAATACAAAATATTAAGGGATTGATTTATTGAAACATGAATAAATAACAAGGATAGTATAAGCCTACATTTATTTCAGGGGCAAGTTAACAATTCGGTACCTTTGGGAATGTTTGTCCCATCTCTAAGAGCTAAGACACCTACATGGAACACGGTTCTGAGCTGGGGGAGGCACTCCAGGGCCCTTTGTCCTGGCAGAAGACATGCTGCTTCAGAAGGGTTTTTCATGTGACTCAAGCTGGAGTATCCTTCCTGCATGATTTCTGTCTTTTATGGTAAGTCTCTAAGAACTTCAAGCTCAGGCTCAATGGCTTCAGGTCACAGCAGAACTTCCCTTCCAGGCTAAGCTTTGTTCAAACCTGAGTTTTCAGTGCATCTCATGCCAAAACTCATCTCTGGCACATGAAACCATCAGATTGGCACAGCAGTCTTCAAAGAGGTTACAACCATTTTGGTTTTTAATTCAGCTTCACAATAAGAAAATCAGAGGAGGGGAAAAGTAACTTCAAAAACTTGCACATAACTAAAAAGATTAAGATTGCTCTGGTAAAACAAACATTGAATTCAGAGATTTTTATGTAACATAGCTTGTATGAAAAATGTTTCCCAAAATATTTTCAGGAAGGACAAAAGAAAACTTTTCCTCAAAAATCATTTGTAATGTATAGTCTAGGTGGAGAATGAAAGCACATCAATAATGGTGAAATTCTGAAGATCAGAGCTTAACCACAGATTATGTTGTGGTAAAATTCTTTATTGCAAAGTCTGAAGTTTTCTGTCAAGTCTAGATTTAGTGCATTTGCCTCTTCCAGAGATTAAGACAACTTATATATTAATTTAATTTAAAATTAACTGTAAAGCATGCTTTAGTCAAACTTCACAAGGCTGGAGCTCTATTTGTATATTAGGTAATAAATATTCTGTGGGGAAAAAAATAATCAGCACCAAAATTAGCTGTAAAGTTTTGTTTTGAAAGGAAGAGTAGAAGGATAAGAGAGAAATACCAGAATTGATATTTTTTATGATGTGACCTGGAAAAAGTCCATAGGAGATTAAATCTT